AAACTTGCATACAAGACTTTCATACTTAAAAAAAAAGTAATTAGGGGAAAAAGAACAAGGAAGGTAAAGTATTTTTATTGCAGGTATTCCTAATTCAGATTTGGTTTTAAAACACGACGTAATTTCCCTTCTAGTGCTGGCACACAGAATACATGATGATCCCGTTTTCGCAGCAACTTGATAAAAACTTTGTAAATTTTAGTAAATAGTTAAGACTATGGAACAATGGAGCTTCATTGTTTTTTGTCAATTTTCTCAGTTAAATTATTTTTTTCGCAGAATCCAAAGCTTTATTTCAGGAGGTTTAGGAGAAAAAGTCTAAAATGTAAGATCCTGTCAAAAAACTGGATGTCATATTAAAGTATATTAGGATTGCAAATGAATTTTTCAAACTTTTTACCAGGAAAATTTTCAAGAAAATAAAATTACCAACTATTGACAGTTTAACACGGTATCTTATGAGAGAACAAGCTGAAGTGCCTTTAATTGTAATTAGGGTATATTATAAATGTGTCAAAATAAAAAAAGTTTTTACAAATACCTGAGTACAGAAGGCAAATACTCAAAAAAAATCAAGCCTTGACAGGTATTTTTTAAAAACACAATCAATTACAGTGGTACAATTTCAAGTTTGTAGAGTGCGAGAGAAGGTGCGCGATAAAGAAGGTATATCTGTGTAGACCATGGGACTCCCCATCTGATACTATCAAACCTTCTTAACGCTTTAGTGGAGTTTCTTTCCTTTTTCGTATAGTTTTTTTAGATTTAACAGTTCAAAAAGTTTATTTTCTGTTTTTGTGCTCTACAATAAGGCTTATTTTTTTCGTTTAAAGTGATCTTATTCTTTTTTTTATTTCTGTTGTGTATTCCATCAAATAACAAAAAATTAGGTTTTGAACAAAAAACATTATAAAATGCAAGGCATTACGCAGAAATATAAACAAATTTTAAGGTTAGATACGCTGAAAAACACGAAACACAAGCTTTTAACACCTACGACTTAAATTCACGTACTCTATCAAGACAGAGGAATAAGCTTGTTATTCCACACTAATAAATTGTACTGCTAAGCAAAAAATCCACAGTTACTTGACTTATATCACGCAGAACACTGAGAGCTACTTAGAATCAATTGATATCTTCGGCTTTCTAAATAGGTAACAGGCAATATATGCACCAAGGCTATTTTATGAAAAACTCTGCGCAGCTGTCTTAAAAAAAGGGACGACTCATAAAAACGTGTTTGTAATAAAGAGCGCTTACAAAAAATAAAAAAATTATTAAATGTAATAGTTGAGATTCTGTTTACTATCCTTATAAGAATTTCATTAGGCTATATGAAAATACTTTTTTAAGATGTTATAAAATGAAAATGTAATGAAGTATTTTTTTCAAGTATTTTACAGTGAACTATTTGTTTTTTTCTTTGGTTTTTTATAATTATACTATAAACAGTTTATTGTATAGTTTTAATACCTCATAACTTAGTATGAACTCAAATGAAATTGAATCCTCAAAAAATTAGTAATAGAGACATATTTTACAACTAGAGGTTTTAACCCTATACTTAAGTTCGATTGGAGCTACTTTGAGATTTACAAGAGCTTTCAGTTATATGTAAGTTATAAAGTAGTAAATTAAAAAAAATTATTCTTGAAAATGAGTAACAATAAATTTGAAGAAAAATAAACTTAAAAGAGTAATACAAAAATTAAAAAATCACAGTAATCATGGTATCAACTAAATAATCGAAATAACTAATTTGTCAAATTCATTAAATTTTTTGATACTTCGGAATATCATGATTTTGAGTATCAAATCGAAGTAGACACAAAACAGAAAAAAAATTAATAAACCGATGACACAGTGAAACGTAAGCTTCTCCAACGACCTTCATAATATTTTTTTAAGTAAATATCCAGTTCAGTAGGATCATCAATACAGTATATGAACCGTTAAAAGAACAAAGCTCTTTTATAGCACTGTATTTAATATGTACTTAATACGTATAAGATTAATTATTAAAGATATAAAAAAAATTATTTTAAAAGACCAATTTTTAAATCACAGTAGTGAACATTATTGTGTTAAAAGATAAAAAAAAAACATCTTTAACTCAAATAAAAACGTTCATTTACTCACACATAAATTGATAGGCTCATCTTTTCGGATATAGCAAACGATCACGTGCAAAGGTTAAGGCACTATGGAACTTTCGTTTTTATTTTTTTCGATTTATAGTTGGTTTTTATATTTCAAGAAGTAAAGACTGATTCTCTTTATTCACTGGTACTGATGAATCGCTTATTTACTGGTCATCATTAATCTACTAGGCTGAAGGCCCTACAGGGTGAATATAATAACATAAAATATTATTTATTATAAAAAGCAGCCATTGTTCTAAGAAAAAATTACAATTATTAATTTATATTAATTCAATAAAATTATCAATTAAGCGAATACCATTCGTCATGTTTTTAATTTCGATAATTTCTGCTTCGTTTATGACTTCCAGAACTCTTTCAGTTAAGAGAAATAAGAATACTTGTCAATTTAGTTTATAATGAACATTTTACTTATAATGAAAAAAAATGGAGCTTTTTTCGTATGTAGCTTTGGACGAAAACAAATGTGTGTATTCAAAGGAATAAAAATCTACTATAAATTTCACAAATCATGGGTAAATAAGAAAATCAAATTTTTTTATTGAACGTTTTCGATGGTAATAAAAACCTTATTATCAAGAACGTTAAATTGTTATTATTATTTGATTCCTTATCGACAAAAATTATAATAATGGCATGAATAGATACTGCATTTATGTGACTTTCTAAATACACTATAACTTAAACGATTTTTAAATAACCGTTAAAATTAATAATAATTTAAAAATCATCAGAGTTACACTTATATAGGCGTATTTTGCACAGGAGTAAATCAACAACTTCAAAATTTTCGCATTTAAAAAATATGTGACAGAAGTGAATTTTTTAATTCCAAGAACAGAAAAACAGAAGGGAGCAATATAAGTTAATTTCTAATTTCCACGAGGTTCAAACAAACACACCTTCATGCGTACGAGCTAATTACCGTATCCACTTAGTTACAAGCTATTTTTAATAAGAGTTACTTTCGATTCATTACTTTCTACACGTTAATTAATATTAATTATATTTAAAATATATATACTGTTGGCACATTATGTGCTCAAGTGAACCAACGATTTTAGAATTTGGACTTTAGGAAAATATACACAGTTGTAAATTTTTTATTTGACTTCGCCCCTCCTTTATTCCCACCGTTTGCATGTTAAAAAAATAAATTTTCAATTACAATTCTTACTCTTGAACTGATTCTCCTAGAAAAAAAAAAAAATAAACAACAAACAAACAAACATTTTTCATGAAAATTAAACCAACAACCTCCTACACGCGAACTAAGTATTGTACCAACTCTGCCACAAACAAAAATCTTTTAATTTTTTTTATACTGAGGTTCGTCACTTATTTTTAGTTTTAATCCTCACTCACAGTTTATTAATTAACTCGGTTTGCATATAAATTATGTGCATTTATAAATGATTAGTTTGGTTGAATAATTTTTGTTTAAACTTAACAAACTTTTTTTCTGTATCAGATAATATTAACAAATGTTTAATTCTTCCTTATAACTGGGTATTTTTAAAAAAAATAATTGTTTATTTAATAGTTTTCTAAATATTTTTAAAGTTCATTTTTTTTTTTATTATTATTTTATTCATACAAGGTTCTATATATAAATTATTACTCTTTAATTGCAACATATTCTTAAAAGTTTTCCAACTCGTAAATATGGTAATTTTTTTAGTTAGGCTACATTCATTACATGTAATACTACCCTATTCATAATGAAGCAGTACTACAAAAATGTTTTTTTAGCCTTTCTGATACATGTTATGGGGATTATATATGCAACTAAGAATAAATGTGGGAGCATATGAGGCAGATGTGAGACTGAGGTTATAAATGATATTAGCGTAGATGGTGAAAAGTAGCTTTAAAGTGATCGGGAGATTTAATGCAGAAAAAGTACAGTCTTGTACTAGTCAGCCCGGCAGCACATGGTACTGTGGCATAACTTTTAAATTTTTTTGTCGACAGAATATATTCCTTATTATTATTAATTCATTGAATATCAAATAACTCATTTAAACCACACCCAATTACCGAATTCGAACAGTCATAGCACCATTTTCGATGTATCGCAATAGATTACTTAAAACATTGCTTCATAGAAATCACATTTTCATTTATATATTGTCTGCCATGGAAGTATAACTCCGTACGTGGATATCTAAGCACCTACTGACTACTGGTTTTTATTGTAATGTCAATTTTAATTCTTCCAATTTTTTACACTTTTAAAAAAATTTTTTCAAGCAAAGTTTTACACTATCTTCATCTAGTCCTGTGTATTGTGAGCATTAAAAACTCACTAAATATACGGCAAGGACTTACTAAATACCTCCTGAATTTAAACCAAGTTTAGACTAAATACTTCCTAAGCATCTTCTCAATACAATGGCACCTACGTTACTTTCTCAGATAACAAGTTTAATCATATGTATCAATAATAAAATGCATTCAATATACCGATCAAGACAGAAATTAATATGAGTATTTTATAAGAAACGAGTGGCTTGACTGAAAAAAGCTATGTTTTATATGCAGCATTTAAGAATGCTGGTCAGGGAGGCATTGTTTTTAATTTGTTGCATATAAAAATCTTTAACCACAGCAGTTGTATTTAGCTAAGAAATGAGACGCTCTAATACACAGTCAGATAAGCGAAAACTATTAAAATTAGGAAAGTGAAATGGTACCAGTTCTTAGAAATAAACACTATTTTACTGCCTCAAAGTCATTAGAACTACTAGATAATTTACTAGAATTTATTTGATTTGATTTTTTTAATACTACATAGAAACATAAAAATAAACAGTTTTTAAAATATATACTTACGAAAAGTTATATTTTTGCATGCTACTACAAGCAGTATCTGAAAAGTGCAGACTTTCTGCACTGATATGTTTCTCTTTGAATTTCATAAAAGCTTCTGATGCATTAAGATATATCTTCTCAACTGAAGCTCCATCCTCCTATAAAAAATTACAGGAACTTTTTTAATTTTTGCAGGATGCACAATACGCAAAAATAATTTTGAGGAAATTAAAACACCAGAACACAAAATTCTGATAATATAACACAACCCAAGGAATATGTATGCTATTAACGACATCGAGAAAGTTTCCAACCAATTTTTTACTGTCTTTTTTGAATACAAAAAGTGAACTTGGCTAAAAATGGTAGGTAACAAAGACAAATTTTCTAATTTACGTATGTAAGCTTCAACAAAAGCACTTTGGTACCCGGGCCTGAAACCACAGTATCCAGACTAATTACCAGAAATGAGTATACTTCACAGCAAACTTTTATCTTCAACTATGTATACTTTTTGCAATTGGCCTGTTTAGAGAGAGTAAATATTTAACTCACAAAATTTTAAAATGTTTCACAGATTGCTCTGAGCAACAAAAAGATATTTCATGACAATTATACAATTGAAAATTTTATGATAAAGCTAGATTCTGGATATGTTACTAAAAATTTAGAGCGGAAAATAAAAAAATGACTTTATTAGACATTGATAACATAAGTCTTAATTCATCAACGAATCTTTTTTTTCAAATTCGTGAAGAGAATTTTTTCACTAAATTTGCATCAACTTACTTATACTTAACTTTTTCTTGACACTGTGTGTTTTCTAAAAATCACACATAAATTTCCAGTATTTATTTATTTACATTTTTTTAAAATCGTAGTTTAAAACAGAATTTACTTCTGTACCGTAAAAAAACTGTCAAGTATATAACTGTTATCTTCTTATTTTTATACTGTTTAACTATACTGAATAAAAATCAAAGATTTTCACACTTATTGTTCCTAAAATATTCATGCATAGTTTAAATACTGCTTATTAAGAAATAATAACTATATGAAATAAAATTGATACCATATCCACCAAAGTTTATTTTAACATAATTTATATTCTCATGGTATTTATTCAAGTATCATGTAACTGAAAATGTTAATTGCCATACCAACTGTACCTTCTTAAACACTCGGCTTGTTTACCTCATCCACCAGGCATGCCAACCATACCACATACCATTCACCTCAACAAAGATAATCTTTGATTACCCATGTGGTTTTGATTTTCTCCTTGATATTTTCCCGGATTAACAATGCAGAGATTCTGTATTACTTAAAGTACGCACCGGCAAAATACACACACTATACATTTATGTATGTATGTATGTATGTGTGTGTATGTGTGTATATGTATGTATAAGGTAACTTTCCAGGACTTTACGCATGTATAACGTCACTATCAAGGACTTTTGCATACTTCCAGGACAGTCCTGGAAAATTTTTATGTTTAACGTCATGTTCCAGAACTGTCCTGGAATATTCAAGGACTGTCCTGGAATATTTTAGTAATGTCCTTAAAAATACTTATGTCATTGAAATTTTGAACTGTCCTGGAAAATTTCAGGGCAGTCCTTGAAAGTGCAAATACTGTCCTTGGAAATTTTAATCAAGGTTATTAAAATTTTAAATCATAATAATAAATATCAATGCATAAGATAAATAATTCAAAATTACTATTTTGTAAATAAGGCCACTAGTAAAATAGTGTAAGTATTCAAGTATACTTTTATATTCATTGCATTTTAATCTAAGAATTTTAGTATGAGCCGTAATGGCTACATTCAAGATGTACTTACTCACTAAAAAATGATTATGTTGTACTTAAGCATGTTAAAGTGCACATAAATTTTTTTCATTTTTTTTACCAGCCAAAATTTTTAAGAAAATAATGTTTAAAATCGCATTATCTAACATTTCTCTCATGGGCAAGAGCGATTATTCAGCCTTTGTTGCACAAATTATGAGGCAAGAGATAGATTTATGATGGGGAGAAAGTTCGATTGGAAAACTTAACTCTTAAGGAAGACTCTTGTATTGAAAAATATGCACTTATCAGGCATTTGGAAGAAATATATATGCAAACGTAAACAGAGTCACGAGCAGGTCATGTGCTATGTGTATGGGAGAAAACCAAACATCGTCTGCTGCCACCTGGTCTTTCCATCGGCAGCGAGACATCTTTACGAAATTGTGTCTAGAACTTATAAAACTTAAAATCATGATCTGAAACTTATCACAGCCCTCCTCAAGACCTCAAACTATAATGTTGTGCAAAATAAGTTTATTTTTCAAAAATTTATCGAGTCTCTTTCAATTTTTTTTTTATTTTTATGATGTAAATAGCGTATTTTTGAGTTTTATACTACACACATACTATCAGAAACTAGCTGTTTTTAAGTACGTACCGTAATTTTTTTCTAAGTAATTTAATTAACCATGATGCAACCAAGATGGTTGTTTTCATGCACGGTTTGTACAAATCACTTTAACGCGTTGTCATATGAGAGCCCTCACATACCTGCTCACTGCCCCACACAAAAACAACCGATCCTCTTTAAGGATAATTTGACGCTGATGCACAGCATAAACAAGTAGAAAAATCTATCAATAAAAATGTACTAACCTACAAAAAACCATCTGATTTCTTAATTGTGAGAAAAGCATTTATATTGAACTTGCCAGAACTACATAGTACATTAACATTAAGTAAAAAAAATTACAGAATGTATTTAAACTCGTTTATTTTTTTTAATTCGAAGACTAATAGCATAAATACCTTTTAATATTGATAAAAAAAAATTTAAATCAACATTTGGTCGTTCTTTTATTTAAAATGTTTTATAGATTTCTGAAAAATTAAGGTGTTTGGATAGCATCAATGTACATAGTTTCGTATAGTGCCTCAGAAAGTTTTAAATCATTTTTTTACATAAAATGGCTTTTGTAATAAATTTTCTAAGCAGATGCGTGAAAATAAAAATTGTAAATATATGTTGCAGTTTTAACCTTTTTTTTCAGCTTACAAGTCATCATCCAATTTTATTTATTTTTGGGGAATATTCTTAACTGCAGACAGTATTTAGGGTAAACATTCAATTCGCATTACTAAAGTCCTTATTTACAACCTATCGATTTCTCAGAACGCTATTAGCGCTACATCAAGCATATTAAGTATTATGACAATCTTGAAATTCATGTCCCTTCATTAAAGGTCCTAGGAAATGCTAGTGGTGAACCCAAGAACGACTTCAGTTTAAGAATATATTTATCTACTTATCCCGCAAGCATAACAATGTTGTTATTGTACATAAAGTCTGAATTTTGTTGTACTTTATTCATTTAACTAGTGTTATATATTTTTTTACTTTTTTTTTCTTATTTTTTTTTAGCGTACTCGTATTAAATATTGTACTTTCCTGATCTACTATCTTATTAGGAAGAATACTATTTACGTATTAACATATTTTTGCTGATAGTCAACACAGAAAATAAAGTTTTTAAACATTCTGTATCGAGACTTTACATATTTTTTGATATTTTCTTCAACTGAATTCCACCTTTTTATTGATAGAAAATATTATAGTCGTTTACTTAGCCATACGACTAGTTAATAACACCGTACTTTTGTGACATGTGATATAAGTAAGAGTACAAAGATCATTCTAGTCCTCCTAGAACTTATAACGAAATTTGACTCCGTTTCGTATAGAAAATCATGTTACGAAGCATTTTATAAAACAACTTTTAGTCAAACGCTTTTAAAAACAAACGGCACGTACGGTTACTTTAAAGGTACCTTAGCAACCTTACGTATTTCATTCAAAGTTAAACAATTGCTTCTTTTAGAATTGACCAAAATTTAAAAACAATAATAATAGAAATGCCAGTAAATATTTTGCACACACAGGAAATGTTACAACTAAACGGAACGGTACTCAGGTCTGAAAATTAGTTATGCCAAGAGCCTGAAAGTTTGTGTTGTGAGCAAGCGTATACTTAATACTGCCACATAATTTGCCCTTGTCAACTGATGACTTAGATTTTCCTGACAAACAAGTAGATACATATAATCTAAAAGTAGTGTCAAATTCAAAACTACCGCTTGTATAATTTAAAACTTTTTTAAAAGTGACACAATGCCTAACAGAAGTCGTTATTAATTATGATGTAGAATAAAACTTAAAATCAAAATTATATCTTCTTATTGTTTGTCAGGAAAATCTAAGTTGCACAAAAAGCTTAATTTTGTTACGTCGTTGAATGCAGGTGACCGACGGTTTAAAACCTATCATTTAAAAAACAGTTTTTATGATTTTAACTGTTTTTTAACCTATGCTAATATCATATCATCACACTAATCTATGCTTTTATCATAAAACATTTTATAGCCAACGACTCATTAGTGATAATATAAAAAAGTTTATTTTGACTTAGCGTTGACTAAAAAAATATGTATATAATAGTTCTCACTACCTCTAGCTTAGAAGGCAGCACATTTGTACCCTGTTAAAAGAAATTTACTACAAAAAAGAGTATATAGCGTATGTAACTAACTACAAAGTTTGACAATAATGATAATTGTGTGTAAGCACACAACTAGCAAATAAATAATAAGATCCTCATCATACTTCTCGTTTTAGCGACCTTAAAAATTATTCTAAAAATAATAAAAATATCTTAGTTTGTAGTTGTCCATAAATTACAGAAGGTTGAAATAAGTCAGTAGTTAGAGTACAATATAATTATCATGCCATGAAACTTTTGTGGTTAAAATTAAACTTGTTGTGTTCTATATTTGGAAATAAGTGACGCGAAGCCTACAAAAGTATGTTATCTAGGCAGTTGCGTACTGAGCCCAACCATATAATTCAACATGCACTACTGATTTGCGACAAAAATTTTCTGTCGTTTCTCTATGTAATAAAATGTCTTTATAAAAATTTGAAGATGTTAATTTAAAATCTCTTGTCCATTTTTTTAAATTTCTGGATAATACAAGTACTAAGTCCAAAAACAAATGTGATTTTATAATAAACCAATTTATTTTTTGCGCAAGTAAATCCATAATGTTGCCCAGAAAATCCGGATATGATTTCACTTTATCTGTTAAACTAGTTTTTTTAATTTTATTTAAGCGTTATTTTATTTAACATTTTAAAATTTTTTTGACTTGATGTAGTATTTTACTGTTATAGGTTCAATATCTATATTGATATATTTTTGCTGGATGTCAGCATAGAAAAAAATATTTTTTAACATTCTGCATCGGGACCTCAAACATATTTAATGCACTATTAAATTGTATTTAGCCTTATCCTTGGTGTAAAATATTAAAGTCGTTTACTAAGCTATACACCCACTTAATAACACCACACTTTTACGATTTAAGATATTAGTTGGATTACAAAGATTAGCCTAGTCCTCCTGGAACATTCTTTATAATTAGTTTCTGTTAGTAAAGAAAATCATATTACAAAGGGATTTATGGAATAACTTTAAGTAAAAAACTTTTACAAAGAAACCGCACATTTGCGACCTTACATATTGTATTTAACGTTAAACCATTGCTTCTTAAAGTATCGGCCACAATTCAACAACAAAAACAATATAAATGCCAGTAAACTTTTCTGCGCGTATTAAAGATTAGAATCACACTGTATGGGTCTTATGTTTTATAATAAGTTAAGCCTAGCTCAGATTTTCTGTTGTAGGTAAGCGTATACTTAACACTTTTACGTAATTTGCTTTTATCAACTTATCGCAATTAGAAGATATGACATTTTTTTAAATTATCAACTAAAACAAAATTAATAATAGATTTTATTAATTATTATGTTACTTTTTTAAAGGGCGTGGAACAAACAAGTGTTACATTAAAATCTGATTCTATTCTGAGATCATACCGATCTACCTGATTGTCTAGAAAATATAAGTGTCACAAAATGCGATATTTTTAAACGAAGTTAAATATAGGATATCGATTGGTTTTTAACCTATTATTTAAAAGGAAGTATCAATGTATATAACTGATTTTTCTCTTTAAACATGCCAATGTAGTATAAAATGAAAAAAATGTCTTATCATTATTATATGCTTTAATCAAGAAATGTATTTAAGCCAACTAGGGGAACGTTAGGTGGAATGGGCCCAGCAGAAATAATAGGGTAGGGGTTATCTCAAAAACTATAACATATTATAAACTTCTTTCATTTGAATATTCATTCATAGCATCACTAGTTTCCCAGTCATAACAAATTTGACTAAGATCTATTCCCATAGTTTATAATGAGACAATTTAATTTTTAGTAATAAAAAAGTCACAAGGCTAGATTTTTAACTGTTTATAAAATTAAGTTAAGTATAAGTCAGATCGTATTCCATGATGCCGTTTGAAAGCTTAGGTCTTTAGCTTTAATTTACATTTTTTAAATTTATTTTACATTATATATCAAGATATTTAGAGTTAAATTAAAAATATCTCTTTTGGGGGCATGAATGATCATCGAGGTAGGCTACAGATGGGCACGATAAGACATAAGAGAATCGATCGTACGCTCGAACACGAGCTCGATAAATCGATATCGAGCGTAGCAAGTACTAGGTTTTATACATATAGGTATAGATCAGCTGTCTGCTATCAACTGTGATCTGTTATAGGTTAAGTCTTATTGTTTTTTCTATAGCTTATGTAGTTTTGTTACAACTAAACGGAACGGTACTTAGGTCTGAAAATTAGTTATGCCAAGAGCCTGAAAGTTTGTGTTGTGAGCAAGCGTATACTTAATACTGCCACATAATTTGCCCTTGTCAACTGATGACTTAGATTTTCCTGACAAACAAGTAGATACATATAATCTAAAAGTAGTGTCAAATTCAAAACTACCGCTTGTATTATTTAAAACTTTTTTAAAAGTGACACAATGCCTAACAGAAGTCGTTATTAATTATGATGTAGAATAATACTTAAAATCAAAATTATATCTTCTTATTGTTTGTCAGGAAAATCTAAGTTGCACAAAAAGCTTAATTTTGTTACGTCGTTGAATGCAGGTGACCGACGGTTTAAAACCTATCATTTAAAAAACAGTTTTTATGATTTTAACTGTTTTTTAACCTATGCTAATATCATATCATCACACTAATCTATGCTTTTATCATAAAACATTTTATAGCCAACTACTTAGTAGTAATGATATGAAAAAGTTTATTTTGACTTACCGTTGACTAAAAAAATATGTATATCATAGTTCTCACTACCTCTAGCTTAGTAGGCAGCACATTTGCACCCTGTTAAAAGAAATTTACTACAAAAAAGATTATATAGCGTATGTAACTAACTACAAAGTTTGACAATGATGATATAAGAAATTGTATGTTAGCATACAATTAGCAAATAAATAACAAGATCCTCATCATACTCCTCGTTCTAGCGATCTTAAAAATTGTTCTTAGAATAATAAAAATATCTTAGTTTGTAGTTGTCCAAAAATTACAAAAGGTTGGAATACGTCGGTAGTTAGAGTACAATATAATTATCATGCCATGAAACTTTTGTGGTTAAAATTAAACTTGTTGTGTTCTATATTCTGAAATAAGTGACGCGAAGCCTACAAAAGTATGTTTTCTAGGCAGTTGCGTACTGGGCCCAACCATATAATTCAACATGCACTACTGATCGCGACAAATATTTTCTGTCGTTTCTCTACGTAATAAAATGTTTTTATAAAAATTTAAGAATGTTAATCTAAAATCTCTTCCCCATTTTTTTTTAATTCCTGGATAATACAAATACTAAGTCTAAAAACAAATGTGATTTTATAATGCACCAATTTATCTTTTGCGCAAGTAAATCCATGATGTTGCCCAGAAAATCCGGATGTGATTTCACTTTATCTGTTAAACTAGTATTTTTTATTTTATTTAAGCGATATTTTATTTAATATTTTAAAATTTTATTTACTTGATTTAGTATTTTACTGTTATAGGTTCAATGTCTATATTGATATATTTTTGCTGAATGTCAGCACAGAAAAAAATATTTTTTAACATTCTGCATCGGGACTCCAAACATATTTGATGCACTATTAAATTGTATTCAGCCTTATCCTTGATGTAAAATATTAAAGTCGTTTACTTAACTATACACCTACTTAATAACACCACACTTTCACGATTTATGATATTAGTTGGATTACAAAGATTAGCCTAGTCCTCCTGGAACATTCTTTATAATTAGACTCTGTTAGTAAAGAAAATCATATTACAAAGGGATTAATGGAATAACTTTGAGTAAAAAAACTTTTACAAAGAAACCGCATATTTGCGACCTTACATATTGTATTTAACGTTAAACAATTGCTTCTTAAAGTATCGGCCACAATTCAACAACAATAACAATATAAATGCCAGTACACTTTTCTGTGCGCATTCAAGATTAGAATCACACTGTATGGGTCTTATGTTTTATAATAAGTTAAGCCTAGCTCAGATTTTCTGTTGTAGAAAAGCGTATACTCAACACTTTTACATAATTTGCCCTTATTAACTTATCGCAATTAGAAGATATGATATTTTTCAAAATTATGTATTAAAACAAAAATAATAATAGATTTTATTAATCATTATATCACTTTTTTAAAGGACATGGAACAAACAAGTGTTGAATTAAAATCTGATTCTATTCTGAGATCATACCGATCTACCTGATTGTCTAGAAAATATAAGTGTCACAAAATGCGATATTTTTTAATGAAGTTAAATGTAGGATATCGATTGGTTTTTAACCTATTATTTAAAAGGAAGTATTGATGTTTATAACTGGTTTTTCTCTTGAAACATGCCCATGTAGTATACAATGAAAAAAATGTTTTATCATTATTATATGCTTTAATCAAGAAATGTATTTAAGCCAACTAGGGGAACGTTATGTGGAATGTGCCCAGCAGAAATAATAGGGTAGGGGTTATCTCAAAAACTATAACATATTATAATTTTCTTCCATTTGAATATTTATCCATAGCATAACTAGTTTCTCCGTCATAACAAATTTCAGTGAGATCTATTCCCATAGTTCATAATGAGACAGTTCCATTTTTAGTAATGAAAAAGTCACAAGGCTAGATTTTTAACTGTTTATAAAATTAAGTTAAGTATAAGTCAGATCGTATTCCATGATGCCGTTTGAAAGCTTAGGTCTTTAGCTTTAATTTACATTTTTTAAATTTATTTTACATTATATATCAAGATATTTAGAGTTAAATTAAAAATATCTCTTTTGGGGGCACGAATGATCATCGAGGTAGGCTACAGATGGGCACGATAAGACATAAGAGAATCGATCGTACGCTCGAACACGAGCTCGATAAATCGATATCGAGCGTAGCAAGTACTAGGTTTTATACCTATAGGTATAGATCAGCTGTCTGCTATCAACTGTGATCTGTTATAGGTTAAGTCTTATTGTTTTTTCTATAGCTTATGTAGTTTTTTAATAACTAAGATACATAGTTATTTAAACTACGGTTCGTCACTATCGGGCTAAAAAGCAATCATGGACGGATGGAAATAACACAGTGCCTTACATGATTTAAAATTCGATTTTAAGAATGGAAAAACAGTTAAATATAGTGCCATTAAATTTGGTATTTCCAGAAGAAAGTTTTTTGATTCGACAAAAGACGGCCTCATAGCAAAAAGTAAGTTGTTTTTTTATCAGGACACTAGCGTATCATCTTTGTAGCTTTTCTACAAAATTGGAGCATGATATATGTATATATGTGCCCATTTGCACCCTACCTTAAGCTCATCCATACCTCATAGCAGATAACAGGGGGTATAAATGGGCATTTTAAGGTTTCAGTTTATAAACGAAAAATTTTTCAAACAATCGAATTTGAAACAACATAAAGTATTATTTGGACGATAATTGATAAAATTTCATATTTTAAAAATAATTGTACAACTATATTTTTAGTACTAATAGATCAGGAAAAAAATGTGCCCATTCTGCCCCACCCTCCCCTACTAAGTTATGATTATATCAATCAATTCTCTTTCGTATTTCTTACTTCTGGCTATTAGCATGAAACAGTAAGATGTATATTTTCCGTATCAAGATTTTAAGCTTTTTAAAATACACTTAGTAGTTATTCTGACAAATCGTTAGTAGAAGATTATTTACATCTTAGTTAACGATACCTCAAGCTCATCAGACTGCAAATTTAGACCCCAGTAATACAGTTGTACTACAAATAGTAGTCTATGGCGTTAGAAACTAACAACAAAGTTTGACACTGTTGATATAAGAAATAGAATGTTAGCACACGTTTGACAGATAAATTCTGAAAGACGTGTTATTGATCATCATACTTGTTGGTCTGGCGACCTTGATAATTATTCTGGAACTAATAAAAACGACTTAGTTTGTAGTTGTCTATAAATGAAAAAAAGTAGAGAATAGTAGGTTGTTAGAATTCTTATTATTATACGTAATACTTATTTCATTTAATATTTAAACCCCAGTAATACAGTTGTACTACAAATAGTAGGCTATAGCGTTAGAAACTAACGACAAAGTTTGACACTGTTGATATAAGAAATAGAATGTTAGCACACGTTTGACAGATAAATTCTGAAAGACGTGTTATTGATCATCATACGTATTGGTCTGGTGACCTTGATAATTATTCTGGAACTAATAAAAATGACTTAGTTTGTAGTTGTCTATAAATAAAAAAAAGTTGAAATAAGTCAGTAGTTAGAGTACATTATAATTATCATGCCATAAAACTTTTGTGGTTAAGATTAAACTTGTTGTGTTCTATATTCTGAAATAAGTGACGCGAAGCCTGCAAAAGTTAGTCTTTTAATATTGATAAAAAAAAATTTAAATCAACATTTGGTCGTTCTTTTATTTAAAATGTTTTATAGATTTCTGAAAAATTAAGGTGTTTGGATAGCATCAATGTACATAGTTTCGTATAGTGTATATTTTTGCATGCTACTACAAGCAGTATCTGAAAAGTGCAGACTTTCTGCACTGATATGTTTCTCTTTGAATTTCATAAAAGCTTCTGATGCATTAAGATATATCTTCTCAACTGAAGCTCCATCCTCCTATAAAAAATTACAGGAACTTTTTTAATTNCAAAGCCTACAAAACTTCGTTATCTAGGCAGTTGCGTACTTGACACAACCATATAATTTATCTTGCACTTCTAATAGCGTTAGAAAACTTTCATTTGTTTCTCTATGTAATCAAATGTTTTTATAATAACTTGAAAATGTTGATCTAGAATTTCTTGAACATTTTCCTGAAGTCCTGGTTAATGCTAGTTGTGAGTGCAATCCGACTTTAGTTTCATAACGCTGCAATATATTTCTTGTGCATGTAATATCATCATGTTGTCTATAAAATCCTGATTAGATATCACTTCGTCTGTTACACTAGTTTTTTTTATTTAAGTCCTTAATTTCTTGTATTTCATTAACTGAATCTAGTATTTTATTGTTATAGACTTTATATAGATATGTGGCGTCTCACATCTCTCACGCTTCAGGCTCTACTCGCCAGGTGGCTATGTCCCTAATAATTCTCTCCCGTCAAGCAGCGGAATTTCCGTACGATTAGTATATAAGCGCGATCGAGTCAATCTAAGCCCACACCTCTCCTGTGTCTAAGGCAGGAAGCACGTCATCAGCCTTTCTGATGAGTCCTGGCATGCTCTCGGGACGAAACACCTTTTTTTCTCTCAAGTAGGCGATAACAATCGCTGAAGTGGTGACCCCGACAAAGAACAAAAGCAAAAAGCAACTTTCGTGATACTCTTACGCATTTCCACATCCACCACGCCGGGTACACGCAAAAAGCAGCTAATACCACACACTCCGCTCAACGACGCACACATTTCGCACATCGCACAACTCGTGCACGCACGGCAATATGCCCCGCATCGCTCGCAACGGAGCGTGGAAGACCCGCAGATTCAACGAGACTTCTCAACATCTTTCTCCCGCTCATGCCTTCACACCCTCGACGCTCATATCGTCACTTCCTCCCGTCGTAACTGGGCAAGAAGTGATGTGGCATCTCACATCGCTCGCGCTTCAGGCTCTACTCACCAGGTGGCCAAGCCCCTAATAATTATCTCCCATCAAGCGGCGAAATTCCCACACGATTAGTATATAAGCGCGATCGAGTCAATTTGAGCCCACACCTCTACTGTGTCTAAGGCAGGGAGCATGTCATCAGCCTTACTGATGAGTTCTGGCGTGTTCTCGGGACGAAACACCTTTTTCTCTCTCAAGTAGGCGATAGCAATCGCTAAAGATAAAAATGTGCTTGGTGTCAGCATAGAAAAAAAATATTTCATATTATTTTGCATCAAAACGTCAAACAATTTTTAATACATTCTTAAGTGGCATTTGACCTGAATTTTTAATTAAAATATCATAGTCTTTTCTTTTCTTAGTAAAAAATTTTCTGTCGTTTTTTTATGTATTAAAATTCTTTTTCTGGAATTTGAAAATGTTGATCTAGACTCCCTTCTCCATTTTTCTGGGGTTCTGGATAATGCTAGTAGTAAGTCCCAAAACGACTCTAATTTAGTAGTTCACTATTTGTTTTTTTGCACAAATTAATTCAGAAGCTTATCTAGAAAATCCTGATCTTATTTCACTTCATCCCTTCAAGTAGTTTTTTTTTTTTATTTAAGTGTTTTAGTAATTTATATTTGACTGACTCAATCTAGTATTCTATTGGTACAGACTCTATCTCTATGTTGATAGATATCAGCTGGATGTCAGCATAGCAACAAATATTTTTAAGCGTTTTGCATCAGGACCTTAAACATTATTCAATACACTCATCAATTGAATTTTACCTCATTATCAGTATAAAATATTATAGGTGTTAACTAAGCTTTACAACTACCTGATAGCACCACACTTACAGGACCTATGAAATATGTAAGATTGAAGAAAATTAGTCTAGTCTTAGTAGAATTTATTACAAAACTTGACTAGGCTCATGAAGAAAACCATTTTGCGGAGCATTCTATAAAATGACTTCTCGTCGAACGCGTTGAGTAACGTACCGCACTTTTGTGACCTTACGTAGTTTGTTTCGAGTTAAACAATTGCTTTCTATAGAATTCGCCTCAATTCAACTATGATAATAATTAAAATTCCAATGTACTTTTTTGCACACATAAAAATTAGCCAAGCGCATGAGAGTTTGTGTTGTAAGCAAGCGTGTACTTAACACTCTCACATAATTTGCCCTTATAAACTGATCGCAATAAGAAGGTATGAATTTTTTTTTAAGTATCATTTTTTAACAAAATAAATAATAGGTTGTGTTAAGTATCATGTAACTTTTTAAAACGTTTTGAAAGAAATAAGCGGTAATTCTGAATTTAACACTAGTCTTGAATTGTATGTATCTACTCGTTTGTCAAGAGAATCTAAGTTGCACAAAGAGCGTAATTTTTGCACTTAATTCAAAAGAGGTGATCAGTGGTTTGTTACCTATAATTTAAAAAGAAGTTTTTATGTTTTTAACTGTTTTTTTACTTAAACATGATTATTGAGTTAAAAATAAAAAAATGTTTTATCATTTATCTATGCTCTCATCACAAACCACTTTATAGCCAACTACCAAGTCATAATGATAGGTAAAAGTTTATTTGGACTTTCCGTTGACGAAAGAAATATTAATATCATAGTTCTCAATACGTCTAGTTTAGTAGGCAACACATTTGCGCCATGTTAAAAGAAATTTTATACAAAAAGGTGTTTGTTGCGTATGTAACTTCCTACAAAGTTTGACACTGTTTATACAAGAAATTGTAAGTTAGTACACTATGGACAAATAAACTAAAAGATCCTGATCATACTTTAAGTTCTGGCAACCTTAAGAAGTATTCTGGTCATAATAAAGAAAGCTTAGTTTGTCTTTGTCTAAGAACTAAAAAAGGTAAAAAGATGTTAGAAGTTAGAATACAATAATATTATCATGCCAGCAAACTTTGGTGGTTCACTATAAACTCCGAGTGTTCTATATGCTGAAAAAAGAGACGCGAAGCCTGCGAAAGTTAGTTATCTAAGTAGTTGCGTACTGGGGTCCAACCATATAATTTAACTTGCATTACTGATCGGTTCGAAAATATACTGTCATTTACCTGTGTAATTAAATGTTTGCATAAGAATTTAAAACTGCTGATCTAGAATCTCTTGTTCATTTTTTTTAAGTCCTGGAAAATGCAAGGAGTGAACCCAAATAGACTTTAATTTCATAAAGCACAAATTTTTTTTTTGCACAAGTAAATCATTGATATTGTCGAGTTAATCCTCATTTAATTTTCCTGTAGCTGTTTAATTATTTTTTTATTAAATAAGCCTTTTGATACATTATATTTTATTCACTCAAACTTGTAATTTATTGTTATAGACTGAATCTCTATAGTGATGTGATTTTGCTTGATGTTAGCACAGAAAAAAAAATTTTTAAACATTTTGCATTGAAACATTAAAAATTTTTTTAAACACTTTTAAACTACATTTCATCTTATTTGTGATATAAAATATAATGGTCGTTTACTGAGCTATACACCTATTCAATAACACCGCACTTTCGCGACCTATGATATTCGTTATATTATGAAGATTAGCCTAGTCCTCCTGAAACATTTTTTATAATTCAAATCTGTTAATGGAGAAAATTATGTTCCAAAGCAAGTTATCAAATATTGATAAATCAAGCACTTATTAAAACAAACGGAACTTTTGCGACTTAACTTTTTTTTTATCGCTATACAACTGCTTTTTTTAATAACGGCCATAATTCTACAAAAATAGCACCATAAATGCCAGTATACTTTTTTGCACTAATAAAAAATGTTAATTAAACTGTATGGGTCTTAAGTTTTATAATAAATCAAGCCAAGCTGAGATTGTCTGTTATAGAAAAGCGTGCGCTTATCACTTTACATAATTTGCACTAAACAACTTATCGCAATTAGAGAATTTGTCATTCTTAATTATTAAATTAAAAGAAAATTAATAACAGATTCTGTTTAGCAATATGTGTCTTTCTTGACGGGCGTGAATCAAAAAAACACTCTCAAATTGCTTTCACCCTATTATTAATATAAAATATTATAGTCGTTTACTAAGCTATACACCTATGTGAAAACACCACACTTTCGTGACTTATAATATTAGTTATAATATAAAAGTAAGCCTAGTCTTCCCGGAACATTTTTCATAATTCGAATCTGTTAATAGCAAAATCATGTAAAAAATAAATTATTGAATATTTTTAAGTCAAACACTTTTTAATACAAACCGCACTTCCGAGACCTTAGGTATTTGTCTTAACGTTGAACAATTGCATTTTTAAGTATCGGCCATAATTTAACAACGATAACCCCATAATCTCCAGTACCCTTTTTGCACTGAGAAAAAATTTTAATTAAACTATATAAGCTTTAGGTTTTATAATAAGTCAAACTAAGCTGAGCATTTTTGTTGCAGCAAAGCATGCACCTAATACTTCCACATAGTTGGCACTTATCAACTTATCGAAACTAGAAATTATGTTATTATTAATTATTAAATTAAAAGAAAATCAATGAAAGATATTTTTAAGTCTTATGTCACTTTCTTGACTGGCGTGAAACAAAAGTAAACCTCTTGAATTGCATTTAGCCTTATTATCAATATAGAATATCATAGTCATCTACTGAGCTATACACCTATTTAATAACACCGCACTTTCACGACATATGATATTAGTTGTAATATAAAGATTAGCCTAGTGCTCTTGGAACATTTTTCATAATTTGTATCTGTTAATAGAGAAAATTATGTTACAAAACGGTTGATTAAATATTTTAATGTCAAACCCATTTAAAAACAAACCACAATTACACGACCTTACTTTTTTTGTAACGTTAAACAATTGCTTCCCAAAGTATTAGCCACAATGTATTAACAATAACATCATAAAGGCCCGTACGCTTTTTTACACTAATGAAAAATGTGAATTAAACTGTATAGGTGTTAGGTTTTATATTAAGTTGAGCCAAGCTGAGATTTTCTTTTAGAGCAAAGCG